CCCCAAAACCCCAAAACCCCAAAACCCCTGTTGCCTACATAGTCTCAAAAATGATGACGATGTAATTAATAATATATAGATAGTAATTGCATATTATGGAATCAAGATCAAACAACAATCAAGCTCAGCAACAACCTCTAGACAACACAATTGCTGACCTAGTTTTCAAGCAACTCAAGAGCTATCCAGAAAATCAGCAGTGTTTTGACTGCGGTATGTTAATTGAATTGCATGGCCAGATATTGATATTTGAGTATAGGACAGTAAAATCCTCAATGGGCATCAGTGTCAAATGGAGTATTTTTGTGTCCGTCATGCTCAGCTTTGCACAGGACACTAGGCGTATACTACTCAAGCATCAGGTCAATGACCATTGATTCCTGGGGTGAGAGAGCTCTGAAGATGATGTCTCTTGGTGGCAACAAGAATTTGAAGGAATTCTTTAAGAAGTATGATCTTCTCGAAGAGAGTAGTGATAATAGATATAAGACTATTGCAGCAGATTTCTACAGATAAAGAGTAAGATGAAGAAATATACACCAGAATTCATTTTATTTGCAAGCTATCCAGAAAATCAGACTATTAATAAATATTTATAGCTCAGGCAAATCGTTGATGGATAAATGTTCAATGATTAAGAACCTACGTATGAGAAGGGTAGAGAACTTGTGGTCGAGAGGCCACTTGATTCTGGGGCTGATGGTTAAAACTAGGAAGGTGACTCAGAAAATTCCTCACTTTTTGACTACATTGAGTAAATTCATCACAATAAACTTATATTACTTAGTCCATCAAAATTATTGCACTATCCAATCGTAGATAAATTGAAAGATGTTGGTCTCAGGGCAGTAGATAAAGGTGCATGGGCTGTTTCAATGATTGGAAGTAAAGTTTCAGAAACTGGCGTTCCTCAAAAGTTCTCTAGTATGGTTAAAACTGCAAGTGACAAGACTAATGAGAATTTCGCAATGATGAAAGAAAAAGGCTCAGAAAAGTTCCACCAAGCCTCTGAATCATATCCTGTTGTCAATACTATTACTGATGGTACCAAGAGAATGGTAGGAGCTGTCTCAGAGATGTCTAGTGTAAGATTTAAAGCATATTCTTATGAGCATATTATAGAATGCATATCATAAGTTGAAGACTATGATAGTAGATGATAAAGATCATGATGACTGGCAAAACCAAAGATAACATCATGAAATTATTTAGCATTAAGCTCCAAGTTAGGAATATAAAGTAGATACTAGAGACAATAAACAAATTGTGAGTGACTTACTAGAGCCATAGACAAATAAGTAACCTGTGTAAACTACTGTCTCTCAATGAGTTATGGAATATAAGAAGATTGCCTTCAGAAAAATAGATAAATATTTAAGTTATTGTATTTATTTTTATTATCATTACACTATTTAATTGAAATATTACAGTTATGGGGTTTTGGGGTTTTGGGGTTTTGGGC